AACACAAATAATAACCCTAAATGTTACACACTAAAATAGTGTATAGTGGTAAGGGATCGAATCCACGGAGACTGGTTCAATTGATAACTCTATGAAAAATCTCTTTGTAAAATACTTGGAATATGACAATAAATAAAATGGGGGTTTTGTGTTTTGAAATACTTGAAACAACTAGAATTAACTATGATTTAAATAGACAATTGCAACAAAAATAAGAATTTGATGTAAAATCAATAAGGGAAAGATGGTTGACTTAAAGTTTTCTCACTTTGACTTTTGATGAACATATCATTAGAATTCAATGGTGCAATACTTGTTTTAAATCCTCAATTTGGCTATAGTAATCCAAGGAGCTTGAGATTACCTAGACTTTTCTTAATTGTTGAAATGGCTAGAGAAGCTCATAACAATTTCCTTAGTCAAAGTCACTAATTCCAAATAGCATGTAATTAGTGAAAGTCAACTAGCATTAAGAACCAAAAAGTCACCAAATCCAAGAGGGGTCAAATGCTTTCACCACCATGTTGGAGGAAATGTTTTTATGATTGTGTGAAGCAAAAACAACACAAAAATCATTTGTTGCTTGCTAATTTGAGGATCCTTTACTTAATCAAGAAATTAGCCAACTAATCACCACAAACACATTTAAACTCATGAACTAAAACATACAAGTAATGATAAGATGTTAAAACACAAAACATTTCCATAAAGATTCAAGAACATGTTCATGGATTCTTCAACATTCAACAAAAGTTCAAAGGATTAACCAAAAGTCAACCAAGATTAGCTTAGCCAAGCATGGCTAAACACAAAGAAACAAAGTTAGAGAAATTTGTACCAAACATTAAGCAAGAATCAAGAGGTAAAAATATGATGTTCTTCAAGGGTTCTTGGCCTTCAAAAGTCTCCAAAACTCCAGAGAGAATCTTCAAAAATCGGATGTCCAAGAGTATGCAAAAGATGGGCACCAACCTTCCTCAAATAGCTCAAAAGAAGAATTTCCGAAACTACCCCTGCAGGGCCTTGCGCGACCCGCGTGCTGCTGCGGGTGGGTTGCGCGGGTGGTCCCTGACATGGCTTCTTTGAGATTTGGGCCTCTAAAGCATATCCCACTAGCCCAGATCGAATCCAATCACCTCCTAGCCCATTTTCTTCAAGTTTTTCTTCATTTAAAGCCCAATTTGACCTCTCCAAATCCTCCAAAGCTCGTGAACTCGCCCGATTAATAATTTTCATACGCTTGAATGTTCCCCCGCATCTTGCAAATTTAAAGTTTATTTCTCTCCAAGTCTTCAAATAATCATCAAGATCACTCCATGCATCATCTCCACTACCCATCAAGCCCAACGTCATTTTTGTCTACCAAATCTCATCGCCTCCTATACGTCCCGAACACTCCCGCTCCGCTAGACCCGAAAACCTGCAATTATGCTCACAAGATTCGAGAGTACCCGAAATAGTCATAAAATAACAAAAAGGAAAATATGCATGGAAATTATCTAAATTATGAATGAAATATGCTAAAATAAACTATAAAAAGAAGTAAATAAAATGAAGCTATCAAATCACCCCAAGCTTAAACCTTACTTGTCCTCAAGTAAGACAAGACTAAATGAACTTGGGATGAACTACCCTAGAAATAAAAAGAATGGATAGAACCATGGAACCTGTCGACGTTAGTCAACATGGTCAGAATTGATTTCGCTGCTATCTCACAACTTTTTCATCCGATGACAATGGAACCATAAACCACAGCCAGGACAACTCCTTTAGGTGAGTAAGGAGGGATGAGCAGTCGCAGCCTCAATGGAACATGTATACAATGAAGAACATCTGTAGTAGGGAGAAAGCAACTGGATGGGCTCGGGTGGAGCTCTTCTTTAAGTGCACACTCTGATCTCACATCTGCCGGTTTCTCTCATGTGTAACTAGGTTTAATCGCTCGGGCACCGTTGTAGGAATCAGTTCACTTAGTGTTGGCCCAAACCTCCTGTAGTATCCGACTCGACAGTCTCTCTAACATCACCAATTTGTGAGAAAGAAAAAAAATAACAACTCGATCTATATACAATAAAACAGATCTATACAAATGAATATCAAACGTCGGGTGACCAAGATGTTGGGAAATTTGTTCAATAATTGAACCGGCCACCTATCTAAGATAGTTGCAACTGAAAATTTGCATGCTTCATTTTGTTTTGTTTTTTTTTTTTTGTTTTTTGTTTTTTTTTTTTTTTTTTTTTTTTTTTTTTTTATGAAAAACCCTTTGACTCAAAATTTGGTTCCCAAAGGTGTGTAGGTGGAACCGAAAGGGTAATGATATAATCCGAATGGCCTAAGTGTGAAAATGACCATGTGTGGAGCATAAAGATGTAATGTAAGCTCCTTTTCAAACTTGTGGTTTTTCAAAGATAATGAAAATGTCCAAATGTGGACTAAAAGACTCTCTAAATTCTAAGAAAATCGCAAAAAGATATGGTGATGTAAAGAGACCGGATATGGATTCTACTCGGGGACAAGCACCAATGCTTCATCCTAACAGTTCAAACATGATCAAGTGTGATCCTCTCCGCGGTAGTGACCGCAAGGCTAAGAACACCCATTGCTATAGTATATCCTACAGTTGTTAGTATTGTATGCATAATTCTTCATGAAAACTACCTGTCCATGATCACTTACCCCTTTAAGCTACCAGCATCTGATCCCAAGTATGAAATCCCAAACTGCAGCTAGTGGTCCCGGTTCGATGGGTGAGATAGCAACAAGATCCTGGACCAATAATGATACAATAACTATGAACCTGTTCCATGGCATCCAAGAGAGGTGAGAATAAACAGACAACAAAAATGCATGAATGCTAATGTCTTAAGCTAAATGTTATGCAAAAATAAAAAGTAGAAAAGAAGAAAATAAAATCTTTTTAAAATTTAATAAAATAAAAAAAATGAATGCAAATTAACTTAAACTAATATGTTATGCAACCTAACTAAAAATGCATGAAAAAGAGTAAGAAAAAAAAGGGAAATGCCCCACCCCAAGCTTAAGAATAAGCATTGTCCTCAATGCTTAAGGAAAGGGCAGAAAGGACCTAAATCGGGGGGTCGGGCGGCGGGAAATGCCCGTGGCGATGGTGGTAGTCCCACATATCCTGGAGCTGGCGGGAAGTGTGAGAGGAGGACTGCTCCAATCGATCAACACGGCTTGCCACATCTAGGATGGCTCTCGAATTCTCTTGCGTTTGGGCATCGATACGCTGCACCGTGGAGAACATTGTGGCAAATTGGTCAAAGAACGTGGGGGGGAAATATGGTGGGACTTCGTGTCCCTCCTGCTGATGCGGCTGGTCAAAATGTTGTGGAGGGGCCTGGAACTGATCATGCTGAAACATCGGCTGCTGCATCGAGGGCTGGTCAAAATGGTCCTCAGCTTCGGGCATCTCGTCGTCCTCTTCGTCATCTTCTTCCTCTTGTTCCTCTGCGTCGTCACCCTCATCATCACCGAATTCTGGGAATACACCTGTTTGGGTTAACTGGTCTGGAGGAAGCCAAGTGTCGGGGTCGCCTACATCGAATGAAGAACCGATCCAACTTGGCAGGATGTAAACCGGGGCTTTGTCAGAGTCTAACCAACTGTACGTGCGGGTTCCCCGATCGAGCAACATCTCCATCCGGATGAGAGTGTCACAATCTAGCAGGAAGTTCGGTGGGGTGTCGACAGGTATGTACTCGGGATCCGGGAAGTCTAGGCCGACGGCTCGACCTATGATCGTGATAAGTCCCCCGATGAAAATTTCCCCTGAGGAACGTTGGCGTATGGAGTCACATTTGTCTAAAAAGAAGCCTGAAAAACTGAGGGAGAGTGCACGCCTCATGCTTCGGAGGAAAAATAGCTCACATCTGTTGATTTGACCGGGCTCGAGACGCCCGAAGATACTCGTCGTAAGGACTCGGTGAGCAATTCGCCAACAGGGGTGAACGATGTGCTTGGCTCGCTGTCGGCTTGGGTTGAAGGTTGGGAGACCGGAAATTTGCATCCAAAAGTTTGCATCAGGGCAACGCAGAAAATCTTGGTACTCTTGATTTTGGGGGCTGATGCGGAATGGATCGTCTATACCCATGATAGAATCAAGCTCTTCGTATGTGAGTCTATGATGCTCCCCTTTCAACTGGAATGTGAGGACTTCCCGTGTCATCATCTCGTGCATATGTGCTAAGAAATTCCATTGTGGGTTCCTCGTAAGTTCTATCACAAAGTCGAAGAAAACCACGCCAACCGAGTTTTATGAACAAATGGTATACACCATCATGCACCCCAAGCTTTTTCATGGACTTTTTATGGTAGAATTTTGTCGGCCGGATTGCGCGACCCCGAAGATTGGAGCGATAGGTTTTGATCTCAGCATTTGTAAGGGAAGGATCGCTTCCCTCTTCTCCTCTTTTTTTTCGTTTACCGGCTGCTTTGCGTGATGGACCGGCGACATCCTTTTGCGGGTTAGGATCGATCGATGATCCATGGGTGCGTGTCCGAGCCGTGGTTTTGCCCATTTTCGAAATCTACAATATCAAAAACAACTTCACCAACGTAATCCCTCACCTCACCACTCTCAAATTAATGCAACTATCTTTAGACTGAACAAAAAAAAAATCCAAGAAATAATGACACCCAACTTTTGACAATGTAAAATGATTTCAACAACACCACTCGGTTAATTTGATAATCCCAACAAAAATTCGGCAGCAATACGAGACAAAATGAGAAAATCCCAACCAAAGTTTAAACAATTTTTGAACAAATTCCCAAGCAAATTAACCAATCTCAACCTTTCTCAAATCAATGTTTCCAAATAAACCGGGCAACAACTAACGATCTTAGGCAATTTCCAAAGCATAATTGGATGCAATTATCGAATTGAAACAATGCAATGTAATAAAAACCAAGGAAAGAGAATACCCGTATTATCCCAAAATTGAACTACCGTGCACCCCAAGCTTTGGTTATTCGTGGGTGCCTAAACGCAAGACTTGTTCATTGAAGGGATATTTTCAACTTGATTTGTGTGAAAAATCCGGCGGCGGCTCGTGGTGGCTCAAAAATTATGGGAAAATTTTTGGTGAGATTTTGAGGTTTTGTTTGGTTAGATGTAAAGATCCCTGAAAAAGAAACACTTTGGTGGTGTCGGAATTGCGAGAGGTGGTAGGAGTTGGCCGGAAAATGGCCGGAAAGCGGCGAGTTGGGTGGTGGTGGCGCCCCTAGACCCGGCGATGGATCGGAGTAAACTTCAGGTGGGGTTTGTAGAGCACGGAAAATGGTGAAGAATGGTGGTGGTCTCGTCGTATTCCGACCGGTGGAACTCCGGGAAATCAAATTTTTGTGAAAAGTGGGTGTATGTGTTCTTGAGAGTTTGAGAGAGAATGAGAGGGTTTTGAGAGAATGAAATGAAGAAGGAGAGTTGCTGGAGGTTTTCAATCCATATTCAAGTGTGGTCAACACCCGGTCAATGTTGGTCAACTCATTAAACCACCTGGTCAACGAAAGTCAAAGCTGGTCAACAAATTATGGGATGATCGTCAAGGCAGCACGCGGGTCGTGCAGAGGGGGCGCGCGGGTCGCGCATGTCATGCAGTTTGGTGCTTATTTTTTGTTGCATGTTGAAGACCAGCCGCGCACACCAGTCGCGCAGACCCCTGCTCCTGGAAATCGATTTTTCTCTGTTTTCTTCCGTTTCTTCACAAGTTCTTGATCCCAAATGCCCCAAACACCTAGGAACTCTTGGTTTCTTCAAAAATGACTTCAAAAGACACATCAAAACATTTTCAAAACTTCTTTATTCGGGATGTAGAAACACGAAAGCATAAAGCTTTTCCAAAAATGCCTCTCTTTAACGTCTTAGGCGAGACGTCCTTCTAGCTTGGTTCAACACTCCGGGACATCCAAGTGGATGACTTCAATAACACTTGCATTAAAACTTTCATAGAATGGCTTTAATCGGTGCCCGTTAACTTTGAAAATATGTCCCGTTTCTTCACTTTGGATTTCCACCGCTCCATGGTCAAAAGTCTTTATTACAACAAATGGGCCAATCCACCTTGATCTTAATTTGCCCGGGAATAACTTCAACCGTGAATGGTAAAGTAAGACCCTATGTCCCGGTTCAAAATTCTTCCGGGTGATGGACTTGTCGTGGAAGAGCTTCGTTTTCTCCTTATAAATCCTTGCGTTTTCATAGGATTCGTTTCTCAATTCTTCTAGCTCTTGGAGTTGAAGTTTCCTATGCCTTCCAGCCTCGTCAATGTCGAAGTTGCATTTCTTGACCGCCCAAAATGCTCGGTGCTCTAACTCGACGGGAAGATGACAAGATTTTCCGAAAACTAATCTGAAGGGCGACATTCCAATCGGGGTCTTATAAGCGGTCCGATATGCCCATAAGGCATCGTCAAGTCTCAAACTCCAATCCTTCTTTGTCGGATTCACCGTTTTCTCTAGAATAGACTTCACTTCACGATTCGAGACCTCCGCTTGACCATTCGTTTGAGGGTGATAGGCAGTGGAGACACGATGAGTCACGTGATACTTCTTCAATAGAGCCTCCATCATTTTGTTGCAAAAGTGCGTCCCTCTATCACTAATCAAAGCCCTAGGCACACCAAATCTCGCAAAAACATTAGACTTTAAAAACTCGATAACCGTTTTGGCATCGTCCGATCTTGTGGCTTTGGCTTCAACCCATTTAGAAACATAGTCAACCGCGAGTAAAATATAAACGTTGCCAAATGACACGGGAAATGGGCCCATAAAATCAATCCCCCATACGTCAAAAATTTCACAAACAAGGATTGGATTTTGGGGCATTTGGTTCTTTTGCGAAATGTTTCCCGTCCTTTGGCACCGCTCACAACTTTTGCAAAACATATAACAATCGCGTGACATGGTTGGCCAAAATAATCCACATTCAAGGACTTTTCTCAAAGTCCGGCTAGGTCCGAAGTGTCCCCCACAAGCAAATTCATGACAGAATTGCAAAATGGATTGGTGCTCTTGTTGGGGCACACATCGCCTAATGATTTGATCGGGACAATGTTTCCAAAATAAGGTTCATCCCACACATAGTATTTTGCATCACTTTTCAACTTGTCTTTTGAGCACGCGTGAATGTGTCGGGATACCTTTTTGTGACCAAAAAGTTAACGATATCGGCATACCAAGGAATAGATTGGGTAAGGGAAAAGAGATGCTCATCCGGAAACTCGTCCCGCAATGGGAGAGGAGTTTCATTTGAAGTGATCCGACTTAGATGATCGGCAACGAGGTTCTCGCATCCGCTCTTGTCCCGGATTTCCAAGTCAAATTCTTGTAACAGTAGGATCCACCGGATGAGTCTCGGCTTTGCATCTTTCTTCGTCATCAAGTACTTAAGAGCTGCGTGATCGAATACACTATGACCTTGGTACCAAGTAGGTATTGTCTAAATTTCTCCAAGGCGAACACTATGGCCAATAGCTCCTTTCGTGGTAGAGTAGTTGCTTTGGGCATTGTCTAGTGTCCTTGATGCATAACAAATCACATGGGAGGCCCTCCCATTCTTTCAATGCATCTTTTTAAAAATTTTGTGAGATTAGTCAAACATTCTTGAAAAGAGTTGCCATGTACCGTGAAATCATCCATAAAAACCTCAATTATGTTTTCAACATAATCCGAAAAGATACTAACCATACAACGTTGGAAAGTGGCCGGGGCGTTACACAATCCAAATGGCATTCTCCGGTATGCAAAAGTACCAAATGGGCATGTAAATGTTGTCTTTTCTTGGTCCTCGGTGCCACCGGGATTTGGTGAAAACCAGAGTACCCGTCTAGACAACAATAATGGGATTTCCCGGCCAACCTTTCTAACATTTGGTCAATGAAAGGCAATGGGAAATGATCTTTTCGTGTGCTCGCATTGAGTTTGCGGTAGTCAATACATACTCTCCACCCGTTTTGCACACGGGTGGGACCATCATACCTTTGTTGTTCTCGACCACCGTGATTCCCGTCTTCTTTGGAACGACTTGCACCGGACTCACCCACTTGCTATCCGAGATTGGATAGATCATCCCCGCATCAAGAAGCTTTAATATCTCTTTCTTCACAACTTCCATCATTGGTGGATTTAGCCTTCTTTGCGCGTCTCTACTTGGCTTGCATTCATCCTCCATTAAGATCTTGTGCATACAAGTGGAGGGGCTCAAACCCTTGATATCCGCAATCGTCCAACCCATGGCTTCTTTATGCTCCTTCAACACCTTGAGGAGTTGCTCTTCTTCAAATTCGGTTAAATGAGTTGAGATGATAACCGGAAGGGTTTCATTCTTTCCCAAGTAGGCATACTTCAAGTGTTGAGGTAAGACCTTTAATTCCAATTCGGGTGGTTGAACAAGGGATGGAGACAATTTTGTATGAGTTGGGGACAATTCAATTTGCTTGACATCTAATCTTGTGGATTTTTTCATTTCCATTTTATTTACCAACTTCTCAACTTCCGGATCCAAAGAATAAAGCTTTAATTGCTCGGCTAGCTTCCCACAATCGAATCCTTTGCTTAAGATCATCTCCAACATATCACCGTTAGATAACTCAAACAATTCTTGAGTAATTGGCTCAACAACATCAACAAAGTACAAAGATGAAACATCACTAGGATATCTCATGGCATCATAAATATTAAAACTTATTGTTTCACCATCAAACTCCATTGTCAAACTTCCCGCATACACATCGATTTTGTCCTAGCCGTCTTCAAAAACGGTCTCCCAAGCAAGATTAGAGCCGATTTGGAAGACACTTGCTCATCTAGATCAATCACATAGAAATCCGCCGGGAAGACTAATTGGTTCACTTGCACTAGGACATCTTCTAAAACACCTCTAGGAAAGACACTTGATTTATCCGCAAGAGAGATTATGACACCGGTTTCACTTAAGGGTCCGACATTTAATGATTCATACACTGAATAGGGCATGACATTGATAGAAGCACCAAGATCAAGCATAGCACTACTAAAAGTGACATCTCCAATCTTGCAAGGAACCGTGAACATTCCGGGATCTTTGCATTTGGGTGGAAGTTTCCTTTGTAAAAC